CTTTCTCTATCTGCAAACTTGACCACAACGAATTATAGTAGCAAACCCAATAAACTACGTACTGCATCGACATAAGTGATCAAACCTGAATCCTAAGGTACCACACGCCTCGTAGCCGAAGAGGCAACGTACGAGACTGCGGCGGATGACATCGGCAGTTCAAGACCCAGCGGATTCTTACAGTAGTATTAAGTTGTAGAAATAAAAGGAGGGCAGAAACGGGTTTGGTTTTGTATGCTTAACCTTCCCGATTTCTGCCCTCTAAAAAATTAGATAGGGTTTCGTGGGTGGGATATGGGAGCCTAAGATGAGAGAAGGAGGGGGTTATGCAAAAATATATTTATGAGGGAGCAGCCAAGGAGGAGGGGGTTATGCAAAAATATATTTATGAGAGAGCAGCAAAGGTGGTCCACCAACACACTACACATACATCATTTCATTTGCTGGTCAACAATCTTTCACCAAAGAACTGGAGTCAAAAAAGAAACCAACCAAATACATCAAAGCAGTACCCCACACCAAATTCTGGCAAACAGTCATTTACATTTTGCATTTTACATTTTGAAGAACATCACACCAGGACTTCACTCTACATTGCTATCCACTGTCCTGACTAATTTTCCTAAGACTCCTTACTATACCAGCCTGCCTTCTCTTGTTGTCTGTACCTATGTGAGCACACAAGCATATTAATCTGGTTTCTATAAACGAGGGAGGTGTGATTAGATGATATTTGGTACACCTTACTTCATCAAGACTTGAGTGATTTATAAATTTTGGTATTGCCAATGTATCACATTGAGAGGGAGTGGAGGCAATCTGGCGTGTGAAAACCTCTCCTCCCGACCATTACTTTGATAAACATTTCGCACTCGAGGCGGAAATTAAAGATCTCCTTGATGTAGTATAACGGTAACCTGACAACGGTTGGCTTAATGTGACTGCACCAATGTACAAAATTTAATTATAAGACGTAAACATGACCTCTATGTGTCAAATGCTAACCCTCCTAAACGTTAAAGAGGAGCGTACTTTACACGTGTCAAGTTATTTAATAATTTTCAACCAACAATTAGAACTCTAAATTATGATATAAATGTATTCAAGCCTGCATTGAAATTATCTTTCATACTTGAATTGCAGAATCTGAAGGTTATGTACATTCATATGTGAAACACGTTCTTGTAATTGTGTCAACAGTACTGAGGTTTATGTATATTGAATAAAGTCCTGAAGTTTAAGTGTATTGTATGAAATGACTTGTTCTCCATCCTTTGGTTTAGTCCTAAGAAGGATCTATGGAATGCAAAGAAACTCTACTCTCTAACATACCTGAATAATGCAATTCCTTATCCAAGTCACAAACACTCCAGGTGCTTCGTTCTGTCTGGTTCTTCACATCTCCAACTCCAAATAAGCTGCTTCCCCATCACGCATACAACTGATCTTCTGAAACACTGATATTCTGACAAATTGGTCTGCCATATCTTCGTGTGACACCTTGATACCAGTCCACACACACTACAGATACAGTTCACATGAAAGTTGCCACTCAGCACATCCCATGATCTCAAACTCCTCTTTCAGACAGACAAGGCACTCACACTAAATCTATAACTGTACACCTCCTCGGAAGGCAAGTTAATCGCATGAGGGCCAGAGGTCTTCCTTGTGGCATTGTGAGGCATGCTACGAACACCCAATACTTTGTCACTAGGAATCTAAAGTGTGCAACTGTGGTGCGGTGGCCACATAACCAACATTACAACCTGTAACCCTAGCTGCTTACTTCTAGCTTCTTCACTGCGATAAGCTCTTGCACAAATTTAAATCAACAGCTACTGAATTTCCACATGCAAGTCACAAAACCTGAGGCTGCCAACACGTGTCTGTGGGACATCCCAACCGCATCGCCTGATCAATTGTGTCCATTATGCACAATGGTCATGTCAGCTCTGTAGTAATGATGGACTCGAAACTGCGTAACGGCTGTAGTATCCTATATGCTTGCAGACACGCCTACCTGAAACAAATCCAAATACCGAAATAAACATCCGCATTGTGACAACAGTCGTAATTATTACTACGAACGCACTCTACAACTCATTAATGATCAACTGGCCAACTAAACCGACCTTCAATGCAACCAAAATATTTCCCACTTTACGTCCTTCACACAGGGGAAAGATGACACACATCAATTCAAATAAGATCAAATTAACTTCCACGCCCTGGCAATATATATGAGTGTAAACCTGCACCAGACTCAGAACGCATCTTACAATCATGCCGACCGCAGAAAGTCCACGCCATTTCCTAATACGCAGGGACGGCAACATCTAAAAAAACAGCGAACACAACTCGCCACCGCCGGTGAACTAGGGAAATTCAATGATCGTTATATGCGCACCCTGACGAACTCTCCTGTCATCTAACAATAGGCGAGAAGTAGATATCCCACCTAGCACACTTCACTGCACTGCCGAACAAAATGCTACCTGAAATACCACTCCACAGATTGTAATTAGTGACTTCTTCCCTCTCAAAAAGAGACACGAACTACAGACAAATTAAGGCGAAACGCGCCTACCAACTTCACCTATAAAAAGCCAACTACGAAACATTTCCATAACCTAAAAACCTTCCAATAATATATGAAACCAACCACACGGTACAGCTAGGATCATAAACAACAGCTCAATCAACTTAGTACGAATCACTATGAAACAAATAACCAACATTTCGCCACTGAATCGCCTACATCCTCGCGCACATTTCTCACATAACCTCTCGGTAACCGGATTGTTACTGATCCCAGCAACCTCTAACACCCTGCTCAACTCGATACCAGACACAAATCTTCAATACCTGCACTTCAACCTATAAATCACCCAGCTGAATCGTCCACTGGTAACCGTACTTTCCAACACGAACTTATCCTCGTCACATTTCATGTTGGCACTCAAGACATCACGCAAATTCAGCAGCGAGAAAACCTGTTACAAAATCATTTCATATATAGTCAACACCATCTACAAACGATACCTAACCTCAAATTTCGATATTATACGAACCCTATACTCACTAGAGAATCATGAATGTCTCTAGCACACAGCAGACACTGCAATTATGCCAATCCCTCACCACACGTAGGTCTTCCTACATATCAACTCTCACACTTAGACGCACCATTTAAAGTACCAAATAAAATTGGACAGACTCATCTCTCCCAAAAGGCAAGCACATCAAATACATCGCAATAATCATGTACTTGCACAACGCATGCCAAGTTCAGTCAGATAAGAATCTCTTGAGGACAGGAGGCTCCTTCATTGTCTCAGCAAGTTTCCAGTTCTCACATAAAGTGAGTTCACTACAAAGTTATGAGAATAAATTATAAAAGTGACTTACTTTTCTACTTTAAAACTCTCATCATACTCACGAAAAAATAATCTTTCACATAAAGCATCAACAGACTTCTCCATTCAGTTTTTATCTTTTCATGTACACATTCTATTTTGCAGATTCTGATATTTACAAGAACACAGTTTATTTTTCTGTTAATCATATAAGTTATTCCATAAATTGTTAATTTTTTAAATATTTATCATCATTTTTAGGAATGAAAGGGCTCTTCAAAACCAGCGTGACTCATTAAACCGATGACTTCCTAACATGTGCCTTCACACTAAAACAAAATCTAAACATTACTACTGTATAATGCTGCAGCCACATGTACTACACTACACATAGATGCAAATGCATTTTCATTATTCTCTTTGTATATATCAAAGAAAGACTTCCTCCTAGATGATTCACCATGTCTACAGGATCATACATGTTTTTGACTGAAAAGAAAAGATTTTACATAAAAATAATCTGCAATAACAAATACTATAAAACACAAAATAAATAATTTATAAACACAGCCAGTACAACTTGTAACATAAAAAATAAAATAAAATAATTCTTCTAAAAGTACAATACACATTACAGACATGTCAGAAGACTTAAAAAATGTGTCATCAGTGTGAACAGTTCCACAGCTTCAGCAACATTATTTACAAAGAAAGTTAATTTAGAGTTTAGAAATTACAATTCAAAATCAGAAACTTAGCTAATAACTTTTACTTAATTAAAACAGAACTGCATTAAAACTGTTTGTAAAATTTAGTGTGCATGATTTCAAAGTTTAAAGCTCAATCAAAGAAAATTGTTTGATCTGAAAGGTGTCAGTGGTGGTGGTTGGTAATGGAGGTGAGTAATGGAATTGTTAATGGTCTCCATAATGGGACAGTTGAAAAACATTTCATCACAAACTCATAAAATGTTCTTACATTTAAAATCTGAATGCTTACCACAACTGCCTTCTGTTATGATCAGACTAAAATACATAAAAATATTGACTAACAGGTGAAAAATTAAATAACGCCTCACTCAGCACCCTTGCAGAACTATTCTGTTCATAATGCACAGTGGGCTCCTCCACATGGCAGAACTGTCCCATCCATAACAATGACAGGAGTGGAGTGCTGTGATGCTCTTAGTAAATGCTTCATTCCTAGGAGCAGAATATTGAGTAGGAGCAATATTATTTTAATGTACACTTTATACCAACCCTTTTTTCATTTCCTAACTTGCTGTTTTCTGACCTCCAACTGTCTCCTCTCCCTTGCTGAGCATCACGATGTCCTTGTTCATCTCTCCAAACTCTGCCCTCACTAGTTGCTCCTATTTGAAGAAACTTTCTAATTACTTGTATGTAAATAGGATTTTGGCTTGAAGTCACTGTAATTCCAAGTTTTGAATCACGCTGTCTGTGACAGAACAATAAAAGTATAAAGTTGTCCCTGGTACTTTACTCAGCATGTATCATGCAGATGCACAAGTGAGTGCAGTTACAGCTCCACACATTCTTAAACGTGGCACTAGATGGAGAACAGTGGTCAGCTTGAGGGACTGGCCACTTTACCCTGAGGAAAGTAAATCCCGCTACCCATTTTATAGAAAGGTGCATGGCCCCACAGTTGGTCTGGATGTTCTGTGCAGAAAATTCAGTCCTACTGGGAATTGAACACGTTATCTAGACCGTAATCTGGTCATCATTTACGCATTGCCATGCAGAATCATAGGTAGATACCAATATTTCAGAGAAACACAATGCCTATGATTCTCCGAAACGTTACATACCTACAGTCTATATGGTGCCACCACCCAGAAGAAAAATGTTATCATCCTCACTGCCATGAAAAACAAAAGTCTCACTACACTGACAACGATTCTTTCAGAGTATCTTTCACTTAAGATTCCCAGAAACCCACAATTTACATAATAATTTACTTCTTTATGCTTTTCAAGTACCAACATTTGAATAACACAATTGTTTAAATATTCTCAGTTTAGCAAATTACTTTTCAGAGTGTAGTAAAACTGCAAAAGCTGTTCTACAGTATCAGATATGAGAAATTTTTGGATTCAAAAGCTCTTCATAAGCATATGTAAACGGATCACAGCTCATAAATTTTTGTAACCAGAAATTATATCCACCATAATAACATTTATTTCTAATATACTTACTCTGACGTTTCTCTGTAACAGAAAGTCGCTCTCCACAGCTTTCAAATCCAGCAGACTGTGCGTCTGCCTGAGCATAAACACACATCATTTTAACATTTTTAATGCAGTTACAATATATATGACTACTGTAAAGTTTTCTGGATGTCTTTGAATGTAATCAAATTCTTCAGCACGTGGGTTGCTATTGCAACATGAGAACTGTTAATATATACTTACTCTGACGTTTCTCTGTGACAGAAAGTTGCTCACCACAGCTTTCAAATCCAGCAGACTGTGCTTAAGATGGTTTCTTGCGACGAAAAGCACTGAAGAATCGAGCTACTCTACCCTCTGTTCACAAATATAACAAGGCTGTTTTATAGAATGGCATAAAACAAACAATTCTTCATCTCAAAAAGTGAAGTATAATTACAAGTCAATGTTCAGTAGCAGACTACTGTAGGCTGAGGACCTCTCCAGTCTCAAAATCATATTTCTCTTTCTAGTTTTACTGGAGTCCCGAAATGCTGCATCTTTCATTTGTAATTTTTGGTCTGCTTTTACCATATTTCGTCCAGAGTAAGTACCTCCAAAAGTAACATTTGTTTTTGTCTACTCAATAATAGTGGACTGCCTAAATATAATATTATGAGAACTGTTAACTCACACTCTGGAATTTGTATCTGGTAGCTTTCAGAGAGTTATGCGATAGAAGCCATACCTCAAATGAGACAGAATTAAAGCCTCAGATGCAGTTCTATTAAAAAATGGCATCCTTTAGCAGCTACATACTTCTGCTACCACTCATGGAGAAATTTAAAAATTTCTGGATGCTACCATGTACCAATGGCCTGCAACACCACCTTCAGAGTCACTTGAAACTGTAGTGCATCGCCTGCCAGAAAAAGTTCACTGGGTGAGAAGCATGAGATAATCACACTTTGTACCTTGCTGTTCACAGTGTATCTCAGCATTATCACCTCAGAGTCCCCAGCCTTTTACCACAACATTGCATAATCCTTCAGGTGATCTGCCCCTTATAAATGGGCAAGCAGTGCCTTGCACCTCTCTTCCTTAAATGAATAAATCCATCATCCACAATACCCTGCCAGGTAGGATTTTAGGTTCTCATGGCAGTGATCTTATGGGTTGTAGCTCCATGTAGTCTGGTAGAAGTTTACCAGTCTTTCATAGGTCCTTGCTACCTTAATCACCGGGGTGATCATAACCACTCAATTCCCTGATGATGGAGGTAGCAAGGACCTATGAAAGCCTGGTAAGCTTCTACCAGACTACATGGAGCTACAACCCACAAAACAGCCATCTTAATGCCCCGCCAGTTGAAAAAAACATTTATCACCTTCCCTTTCAAGTGATTCTGCCAGAATGTACAAATTAAAACAGTCAAGTGAATATGACAATTAATACTTTTCAGTGATAATTAGATTGAAAAATATGACTAGACACAGAAGGCACAATACTTAGCACATCTCCTTGCCCACAATACCTGAAATCAGTGAGCCAAAGAGATCAACACGTAATGATTTTCAACACCAATAATGTTGCACACTATGACAGATTAATTTCTGTACAGGTTTTGGTGTACTGCATGGGTAATGCTGTCACCTTTGTATAGAAATACACGAAGGTGAAGAAGCAATTCAAAACATAGGAACCCAGTCACAGTATTCACACCACCTCAGTCTGATGGAGCACAAACAGTGTGCAGCTATAGTGCTGTTGAGAATAATTCCACAGATCATATTTGAAATAGCAACCTACATGCTGAAGAATTCGATTACATCCAGAAAACTTTACAGTAGTCATATATATTGTAACTGCATTAAAAATGTTAAAATGATATGTGTTTATGGTCAGGTAGACCTTTCTATTTTACTATCAAAGACCCATAAATAAAGATACTTGACCTTTATTCTCCTCTGATTCCATTTTTACATCACTGTTGTCCTCTTGATTACCACCACCATCATCACAGTTACTTCTGTCACCTTCACTTTTATCATCAGTACTTTTTATTTCATCATTGACATCTGAATTTTCAGTAACACCCATTGACTTTGAAATAACTTCCTAAAAGAAATAATTAAGACCAAATTAAATAAGAACTGTAAATTCAATATACTGTGTACATCTGCACTTGTACATACTTACTAAACCCACTGTTATGGAGGAAAGCACAGACAGAGCTTTGCAATACAGTGAAACATCAACAGACACAGCTGCATGAACGACATTACTCTTTTAAGAAATGCATGTCCTTGTACACTTTAACCTTTAAAGGCCAAAAGGTACATCATGTCCCATAACACAAATTTGTAAGAGGCCAAATGAGACAATGATGTCCTTTTAATTGTTAAAAGATTCACGTACTTAGATAAATAGATCACTCATGTAACCCAAAACCATACATGAGAATGATGACAGCTACCACAAAATGTACCACAATCAGATTATTATGGCAGGAATAATTTAAATTTTTCAAATAACGTACCTTTTTACCATTTTTAGGTTTGGCAGACTTTGCTGACATTTCATCATCAATATCATCATCCGCACCACTGCTCTCCTTCCTTCCTGACAAAGCAGACTTCACTTCAAGATCTCTTTCTATCACCATCTCATCCACACGACTACTTAGATCTTCTTGGAAGGATCGAATTGATTCTGTATTGTTATTGGGACTTTGAACTGGAATATGTTGCAAAGGTGGTAATGTATTCCAATTATTGATGGGCCAGACTGAATTCTCCTAAAATTATTAGAAGCTACATTTGCAACTGGTGGTCACTACAAAACAAAATGTGCCAAGGCTCAAAGAGGACTGCCCACTGAACTGGAACATGAGGAATGCTACTTGCATTCAGATACTAACGATTGTAATAATGTCTCTTGAATTTCCAATTCAAACTGAATGGACACTCTGCTAGTCTCACAAAAACGTTACATTCATAGCGATTCATGTGACTGAGGAAATTAGAAGAAATGTTATTAGTGAAACACAAATAAATAAATAAATAAGCCCCTTTTTCAATAGTCACATGTTCTAAATATGGCTCACTGCCTAGCTCTGGTTTAAGTCAAACAAAAATACTCTGAGAAAGAAAACAATGAATTACCTCACTTTCAGATTCAAGTGAATGACTGATGAGGTCTAATCCATTTTCATCATCTTGCCTTGCACTGGCTAAGACCATTGCGTGGCATCCACCACAAGCAACCTACACACAATAAAACAACATTTCACGCTCGGCAATTAATTTTATAATATGAACCTTTACAAACCTTAAAAATGTAAGAAATATATATATATATAATTTATTTATTTATTTAATAAACTTGAAACACTTCTTTATTTACCAAAGCTTTAAACAAATCTTTTGTTGTATCAAAACTGTAAGACCATGGGTACAGCTACCTGTATCAATGATTGCCATAACCATTACTACTCCAACTTCCATGAATTCAAATTTCCTGTTCAATTTAAAAGAAGACAATAACTCATAGTGCATAGGTTCTCAATACGAGGACCTCCAATGTATTTTGTATGGCCTGCATACATTTTTCTAAGACCTGTGTCAAAGTGTGTAATGGAAAACACATCCCTGAGATCAGAGATCATCATGTAATCAGTATTTGGCGTTATCCATTGCTGTGACCAGTTGTTCAGCAACATGAGATGGGATGGCCTATTGGTCTATCATGGGCCAGCAGTTTTCCTCTACTAGAACACTGCCCCCTACCAGGTCATCAATGCCTGACATTACACCAGAATCTCCTGTGGATTTCGGTCTTCACTTTGGTGAGGACATGAATCAGTGCTACACTGCTATCAAGATTCACTGATTTTTATTCTTTCCTGCCTCATTTTCGAATGCATGTAAATTATTTATAATGAAGTACAGTGGCCTGAGCCACATCGGTCCTTGGGCCTATCACGTACTCGCCCCAAAACAAGGCCTAAAAGCTGGGAGTTCTGTATGTGTGTTGTCACCAAGCCTCTGATAAATGTGGGCGCAATTCAAAACAATGTATGTTTATAAGTTGTCAAGGCCATTGTCTGGGGCAAGTACACAGTATGGTCATGAACCAACATGTCTGAGGCCACTATACTTTAATGTGAATAATATACATGAATCGACAAATGAAAGGACGAGGCCAAGTTCTACAATCTGGAGCACAGCCCTAAGCAGGAAACGCAATGACTAATGGATCAGTGAAGGGCCAAATTCCAAACTGCAATTCAGGCACTATAAGATGAACTTCTCTACACACAAACTCCTAAGCACTCACTTGCCAGACCTTCTTCAACAATTTAATTCTCAATATAGGCAAACATAAGAAATTACTCCATGGGATGACTACTAGAAGGCCTGCTTCAAAGTCCACCTCTCCCTCTAGACACTGTGCCCAAAATCTTCAAGCTCCCACATGAAGTCAAGAGAATCACCTCACTGATCACCATCAACAAATCACAATTCCATCCCTTAACAACTAAATCACTCTCAACCCATCACCATCCCATCCCAACCCACTTCTGCCAAATCCCACCAAACCACCATAAAATCCATCACCATCCAATAATGATTCCATCACTGTCACATCCATTCCCATCACCACATCACCATTCCATCAGGAAACCATAAAAATCCTATCCCAACACATTATCATACCACCAAGAACACTCCATCACCAATACCATACCATCCCATAAACAAACCACCATCACCAACACATTCTATTGCAATTCCATACCATCACAATCAATCTCAATCACCATTCCAACACACTCACATCACCACTTCACCACCCTATCATCATAATAAGGGGCTAGTACGAAGGCAACACAATTGGCTGACATGGAGCTGCCTGGGTTGTTGGGTTCTTGGACCTTGGTGTATCACATCACCGTCAGAGCCCTTCAGAATAGACAGAGCTGTCTGTTAAGGCATTCAATGAGGTGATACAGAGGCACCTACGTAACCATTGCATCTGGCTGGTATGGAGGCCCCTGTTATCACCTTTAAAGTGTGTGGTCATGGTGGCATCTATGTTACCATCATAATGGGCTGGCACTGAAGCATGAATATGGCCATTGTAATGTCGCTGTATACAGAACTCTACATAGTCATTATAGTGGGTTGGTAAGAATGCATCTATATCAAATTTATAAGGGGTTCATATGCAGGTGTACATATCACAATGATATGGGGTTGTTATAAAACCATCTGTACAGCCATTATAACCAATTGGTTTAGAGGTGTTTATACAGTCATTAAACTGGGCTGGTACGGAGGCATCTGTATTAGCCAACGTATTATTGCTGAGGCAGTGGGATGGTGACGCAGATGGAAGGATAACACTGAATGGTAATGAAATGAGGTAGTGATGTGATGGGATGGAATGGAATTTTGTTGATGATGGGATGGTGATGGTAGGATTTGAGGTTTTCAAGGTGATGAGTACAAAGATGGCTGTACTCTGGGTTGTCTGGTAGAAATTTATCAATGTTTCAGAGGTCCTTGCCCTCGTGATGGAGGTAGCAAGGACCTCTGAACCACTGGCAAACTTCTACCAGACCACACAGCACTACAACCCTGAAGACAGCCATCTTCAAGCTAGTAATGGTTGGGATGGTTATGGGATTGTGATGAAGTGGGATGCTTTTTAGTGATGAAAACTTGGGAGTGGTACATGCAAATTGCAACAGAAATAAACTGGATAGTGAACGATTATTCAAGCAAAAGCAGCATTACATATCTCACCACTCAAGAATCTGCATCAGTTTAATGACAGATCATCAAAAACCTTTAGACAGGCACATAAACCCATTTATCATTGTCAAAAACTGTCATAAAGATTTGATAAATTTTACTCATTTATAACCTTGTAGCCCGCAAGTCTATGAGCAAGTGTGAACATGGTCCTTGGTCTGAAAAATGTTGTGAACCCATCTTATTGTGCAGAAACAATCTTCAAGTTTATTAACAAAAATGTATGTGCATCCACACATTCTTACTTTCTGAACTGTGTATCCCTTGAACTTAGTAACTTTAAATGGAATCAACTGATTGTCGTTGTCTTGTTCACTACAAAGTTTCCCATGTCGACCTTCCCCGCATGTATACAGGCTGCCTGCATCTAAAAGATTAAAACACGGAGTGAAAATTTATGAACTTGCACACATTACAGCAGACTCTCAATTGTATGAGTAAACAGATGATAAGAGAGGAAGGAAGAACAACTAAAAACAATAACAAAAAAAATTATATTTTCTACTGACAAACATACCGATTTACAAAGTACTCACACTAGTGACATGCATGCACACAACCAACCCACAATTTCAATTATATGTATAAGCCTACTAAAAACCACAAAGGTTTAAAACAGATTTTTACTGTGTACATAACTGAACAAGAAAACATTTTAATATAAAAAAAGTGACTGCTCACACCACAGAATTTTATATGTACATTTACCTTGCAACAGTTTAACATCACATTTTAAACTTTCGAAGCAAAAAGAAAAATGATTAATTTTTATGTAAACAACATAAGTGACAATGTATAAATGGCCAAAACATTCATGGCAATAAATAATATTTAAACTGTACATAATAAAGTTGTAACTGATGGTTTAGCATTGAGCTGATTTACCTGATAAAAAGGTATGAACCGCACAACCAATTGTAAGTTACATTAAAATACAGTATTTCTCTTCATGTTAAGTGAACATTGTGTGTCATGTTCTTATAGAGACTTCTGACAATTTCAATGTATCCTGTAGCAATTTGGTCCAATCCCTTTAATTCCAAAGCTTAGTATTAACACCAAAAAGAAGGAACGCAGAGACAATAGATACTGGTGGATGAGCGAGACAAAACTCTTAACATGACAATGTCATAGGAAGAAGCACAATGTTCATAAAATCAATTTAATTAATGTATGAATGGTCTGGAAAGCAGCTCAGTGCAAAGAAGCAATGTCCCACCTGTTATAAATGCTGTATGGCTCTCACCACATGCCACATCTCTGATCACACAACCTTCTAAACTTGTGACCCTTGTTGGCAGTACACTTTGAGGAACATCTACTCCGAGACCCAGCTGACCATTAAAGTTATTGCCAAATGCAAACACCTCACCACCAGCTGAAAATTGATAATACACTTAGCTTCATGAATCATGACTCTTATCGCATATAACATTTTACACCAATCTGTAACTACAAAACACCTTGTATTCAATTAAACCAATCCAGAGGCAATAAATTTCAAACCCTATCACGTAGCTCAATCATTATTTTGTTAGTAAATGAACTATCAAACCTGTTTATATTTTGGCACCCCATGATCACTACATTATTTCTTGAACATTTTCATCCATCACCTACAAAAACCACTTGTACTCACAGATTTTCCTACAGTGCACCATTTAGATGTGCACACCTCCACAGTCACTTGTTACAAAGAGAGAATGTTATCTCAACTACATTTCTCTAGAAAGAATCAACAAACTCTTGAAGCCGAAGTGAGCAGTATCAACAGTTAAATGTAACATGCCTCACCTGCCAATGCAACTGTGTGATTTCCACCACAGAAAACAGATTTTATTGGAATTCCAAGCGTCACTTTCTGAGGAGAAGTAATGTTGGTAAGGCTGTCAGGCAGTCCTAACTTTCCTGATTCACTTTCTCCACATGTGTATAAAGTGCTGCTTGCTGAAAACATCAAAACATCTCCTAGTATGGAAATAACTGACAAAAAATTAAATAATTATGTTCATATTTTCAGCTTCCATTAGATCAATTATGCTACTAATAGACAAGTACACCATTCAGTAATGTAAAAGTTTATGTAAGGTGAGAATATTCACTTCTAAAAAGTAAGGAATCAGAATTATTTAAAAAAGTTCCTGCTTTCAATTTTTTTGGAAGCTGGTGGAAGAAGTCAGTTACATTCTTGATACTAGCGATCAAACAAATTTACACGCTCAGTTCATCAAGAAACTACCTCTGATTGATCCTAAAGGTTCACTAGTACATTCACAACAGCTCATTGCTGGATCCTATCCTGAACAAGTTAAATCCACAACCTCACACCCTATTTCTTTAAGATCACTTTTAACATTAGTCCATTTGCAAACAGGGACATCAAGCTCTTGAGAGCTACGACAGACTGTCACGTGAATCCCCGATGTTCAGGGCAGAGACGGTGTCTGGAACACTGGAAACTAATCCATGCTCACATGACTAATCACCCAACAAGACTTCATTACAAGTTACTATAAACTGTAATTCACAATTTCCCATAAACTACTATTACTATTACCATATATGGAATGAGATATTACATAAGCTAAACTCTCTACGACTTTCCCTGTTGGAAACTTTCCATAACAAGACTTGAATTCAAACATCTTTGAATGCATTTCAATACTTCATTATGTGCCATATGCAATATCAGCACAAAGAAATAGAAGTATCAAATTGGCATAACAAAACACAGACACAAACGAGGATTCATACACGTTTAACACATAAAATATATTGCTTTTGCATGTCTAGAAAACTGTACTTTAAATTTAGTAATTTTTTGAAAAAGTTTGTATATATGTATTTCTTTGACTCATTTATACAAAATTCTTTAATTTCTATTACTCAAACATTCCAACACACCTGTAACAAACGCTGTGTGATAATATCCAAAACTGATGTGAACAATCTGCTGGTCAAAAGGCATTAAAACAGGACTCAAAACACTATCATTTGTTTCTGGGAGCCCAAGCTGACCACCTGAATTGCTACCCCAAACATAAACATGTCCACATGCTGTAAAAAACAATGTCAAGTGAATTATATGAAAAACTGGCATCAGCAGTTACATGTGCGCAAAGCCCGATACTTTTGATGTACGGCTCCATCTATAAAACGCCTACAGACAGAAATTTTTAATGTGTAGCGTACGATTCATAATGTCACAATCACTGACAGCATTAAATTTATAACAAAAGAAAAGGCGGTGATGTGGATATCAAAACAGCTTGAGAAACCAGTAGAGAAAATATCAAAATTTCAGCCAAGGAGAGTCTAGGTTATTACAAACTGAAGCAGCATAGATATTTAAAACTATCACATCAAACAAAACAAGCCAAACTGCAATGATTACAATGCAGGTGACAACAAATGGAAAACTTATGATCGCATGTACACACAAGCACGTCTTCATATCAAAATTTATAAATAAGTGTTAATATTATGAAACAGTACAAATCTGAATACACATTACAATCCTGGCAGAAGTACAATTATTGTGACAAAATACATAAATTTTCTTGATTGCAAATAAAAATGAAACCTTACTATCTTAACATTTTATTTACTTTTTTACCAACCACCAATGGTTGGACAGAAGTTACCTCTTTTGAAGACTTAACAGACATAATTTACCATGAATGACTGGACATGAACAGAGGCATCAAAGAAAGAATAAATTGCACGTACCTTGTGACATTTCTAACTTATTTCCACTAAAACTTGTTAAAATTTAGTCAACACAACAGAATTCATGAAGCCTGCTTTTTTACGACATAAACTTATAGTTTTGTTAATGTTATACTTACATATTACAGTTTATAACATAACATGAATACAACTGCAAATAAGGTACAGAATGTTGTCGTTGTTTCTGTTACTATGGTAGCAGCAGCAGGTTTTATTTTCTTTTTGAGAAGAACTTTCACTGTATAGATTTTATACTAAACTTGTCAGCTACATATAACTCAAAGTTTCATACTGTCTCAAGTTTGTAAGTGTTTATTTATATAAACAATATTTCAAACATGACTTGTACAAATTTTTATAATCTTTACACAAAATTTCAGATTCTTACCTCCAATACTGCAATGAGAAAGGTGATGAAAATTTTCACAAAGATAACATGTTACTGTTTCACATTCTGCAAAAGAAATTACCTTAACAAAAGGTGCATATTTTTGAAGGACATCAGTCATGTTGCTACCACTGATTGTAGGAATGTCCATAGAATTAAAAAGAAAAAAGGGGAGAAAAGAAACAAAAAGAAAAGAGAAAGAAGCCAAAATATGGAAAAAAGAAGGGAAGAAAGACAACATTGTAATCTCATAAGCCCACTACTTTCCTTAAAAAAAGGAAATTATTATAACAAGTATCATTACAATTAATAACCACTCATTTAAGACATAAAGAAACATGAAAACAACGTAATTTGAACAAACTGCAGCAAATGAAATCCTACCTGTGAGTGCAGCAGAAGAAATGCATCCTGCTGACAGCTGAATGATTTCATCACGTATACCCAAAACTCTTGTCGGTGCTGAACGATCAGCCACGTCACCAACACCCAACTGTCCATCACTGTTGTTCCCCCATGAAAATATTTTACCTGAATCTTAGTTATAAAAAAGAGGGTGAGGAAAAATATTTAAATGCATGAAAATACACACCACATAAAAATTTTGTTTGAACCGACATTTATAGAGAAATTAAGTTACAAGGTGAAGAGACAAAACTTTTACATGCAGACTGTACTCTTCTGGGTTCTGATGCCTCACAGTCTTACACAGAGTAATGTATCACCTCCGCCTTCAGATCTGTGTTCATCTGAAACGTGGCTAACTATAAAATTATGTAGCATCACATCAAATAAACTACAATCCACATTTTCACCACCATCAGATCCTCAAATCTCACAACTTTAGACATTTGTAAACCTTTAAAAAATCAAGTCAAACTATATTTCACCATTTATTCAGATACAAAGGCATAATTAATGCAGCACAACTGTGGGTGTGCTTGAAACATACTAACCTGTACTAAGCAATGTGTGTGCTCTTCCACATGCAACATGAGTAGCCTTTTCTGGCTTCAAACCTAAAAATTAATGCACACACAAATATTAGGCATCAAGTAATAATTAATGTATTGTAACAAATGTTATGGTCTTACATTTTCACGCATTAACACAAAATTTCATTTGGAATTGAGTTGTACTATACTTGATTCCAGAAGGGTTAACCTTTTTCATACTATAATAGGTGCTTAAATCCCCGAACTAAAGGCTGCCAGTTGGATTTAAGTACAAGGTTTAGCAGTTCAGGGATAAGCCAGTACAATGCATTGACAGCTGGCACAAGGTCAATAAAAGTTAAATATGGAATCACAGAGCATCCTCCAAATTACCCATAATTTAAACAGTTGTAAATAAAATGGTTCTGCAATATAATCTGAGAAAGACTGGGTCAGTCTTTCATTACAGATGCTGTAATGCAGGTGTAATATTTTCAGTAAAACATTTCAATTCAGTGCAGGCAATGATGCACTTACTCTTCACACAGCTTGGCTTCACAGTAACATTCTTGTGACCGAGACCAAGTTGTCCATAATCGTTATTCCCAAATACAAACACTCTTCCTTTCTCTGGAATTCAAACAAAGTTCTACAAATATTCATCAGTCAGCTAAATAGTCACACAGAGCTAATGAAATCACATCATTAATAAAACTTCCAAGTCAAACAATAGTCAAATACTATATGAAATAAAAATAGCACCTTAGCATTCTTTGTTCACCTCTAATATTATTCTTAGTGTCTCTGGGGCATATCTATATTCATGTATATTGCCAGCCTGCTAATGGCCAGTTCAATCCAGTCAACATCCTCAGTTTCTTTAAAATCCATTTTAATATTATCATCTATATATAACTGGCTCAGTATATGGTCCAGTACATAAATATAGAAAAACCCCATAGACCCTAATAAGCAGAGTGTAGGACAGGTCATAGAATAGCACATTTTATTATAAGAACATAAAATAAATTTAAAAGGTGTCCCACTATATGTCATGTAGGTGCTTGAGGGGGAAGGAGGTATAGCTCCTACTCATTCTTAACCTCGGCACTAGACAGGGTAAGTGGTCAGCATCACACCCCAGCTGTGCTTCACCCCTGGAAAAAGCCCCCCGTACCCATTAGATAAGAGGCTGGGTGAACCCCGGAGCCGGTCTAGTCTCAAAGGCTGCCCGTCACAGATTGAACCCCGGTAGTACAGTCCGTAGTCAGTCACTATTCTGGCTGAACTACCCCAACTCACTTATTATAAGAACACACACTAACATACTAAATGACATAACAATAAAATTATTTTGGTTTGCATATCAATTTTACCTATTTGAAGATGGCTGCATTTTCACTGCACTGAAAAATATGTTTTATCACAATACACAATTTACATATCTACAAAATAACATGCACGTATTAGTTTCACTAATGAAATTGTATGTGCCCTTAACAATAAAATCCATGTGGGTGGAATATCTTGTGACCTAGCCAAGGCATTTGATTGTGTAAACCATGAAATATTACTAATGAAACTGAAATTTTATGGGATTCGAGGTATAGCAGGACAATGGTTTAAATCCTACCTAAACAATAGAAGGCAGAAAGGAGAAATTCAAAGCCCCCATACCAATCATAATACCTATTCAGAATGGGGTATCGTAAATCACGGAGTGCCACAAGGTTCAGTTCTTGGGCCCTTACTTTTCCTCATATATATCAATGACCTGCCGGCAACTGTGAACTCTATATCCAAACCCATTCTTTTTGCTGATGATACAAGTATCATTATTGCACACCAAGAATTGATCTATCTTCAAAATATCATGAATGATGTCTTTGCCAACATAAATTAGAGCTAACAAACTGGCACTAAATTTTGAAGGAGGTATAGCTCCTACTCATTCTTAACCTCCGCACTAAACAGGGTAAGTGGTCAGCATCACACCCCAGCTGTGCTTCACCCCTGGAAAAAGACCCCTGTACCCATTAGATAAAAGGCTGGGTGAACCCCGGAGCCGGTCTAGTCTCAAAGGCTAGAAGAAAAATCACCTGCCCGTCACAGATTGAACCCCGGCAGTACAGTCCGTAGTCAGTCACTATTCTGGCTGAACTACCCCAACTCACTTATTATAAGAACACACACTAACATACTAAATGACATAACAATAAAATTATTTTGGTTTGCATATCAATTTTACCTATTTGAAGATGGCTGCATTTTCACTGCACTGAAAAATATGTTTTATCACAATACACAATTTACATATCTACAAAATAACATGCACTTATACATGTTTTACATGACAATAAACCATTTGGTTCCTCAAAACAAAAACTTTCTGCCTCTCAACAAGGGCCTTCCTCCATTTAGATAGTTATAACTTCATTCTATTTATACAACATACGAATAGATCAAAAGTTATTAAACTTACGACAGATAACAGCAGTATGTTCATCTCCACAAGCTACTTCCAAAATAGGATCATTTCTAATATAAAAATGACTTGGTATGTTATCAGCAAACCGGCTACGTCCAAATGTGAAAACAGCCCCTGTTTCTATAACAGGGAACAAAATCATTCAGCTGCCTATTATAGCATCAAAGGTCAACAGCAAGGTGTTTCTTCATTATTAAAATAACAAATGTTTTCACAAGCAACTTTAATATATTGTACCTTATATTATACACACAAACACAATCTTTTCTAAAGAAAATGTTTACAGAAGGACGGTAACATTTCACTTACATTACACGACAAAGCAGTTTTAATTTATGCAATACGTATCACTGAAACCAAACACCACCATGCGATTAACACAAAAAGAATTTGCAATACCTGGTAAAACGTCGTAGTTATTCTCCGCCATTTTGAAACAATCAATGGGTAACATGCCGACAAGAAACTCCCTAAAGAAACAAAATTTACATGTAAATTCTTAATTGCTCAAATTACATTACGTGAGTAAAAGTAACATCATTACCACCGTGGTTTGTTTACTCTTTTAACAGATATGTTAATATATCAAATAGATATACATTGGATCAGGCAAAATACAACAAAGAAACCAGTCGCTGCCTTACGAAGTTTTGCCGTAACCATTCTGCAACAGAATTCAAACATGTACAATGACATAATGAAAATAAAAAATGTCCGTGCATATACACAGTGAGTCAGAAGTGTTTACAAACTTCGTATTCCAGTATCAAAAATAAGAAAACATGTTCCTATGAACATGGGGTCGCAAATGTTTCATTTTCGAAATAATAGCCAAAAATAATTTTCGATGTATGCCTTTATTGCCAAGTATAAGGACAGGGATGTTTATAACAGATGCTCAAAGGTTTTCCCTCCATTTTTCACACACGAGCACGACGTACACAAGACTGACGGATTCGTTCGTACACGCCAGGGTTTCCTCGAATCATCTGGCATGCATTCTACACACATTCCCATAGGTCATCATCATTGTTTATGGGTGTTGCATAAACGACGGACTTCAAGTGACCCAACAGATAAAATTGAGTCAGGTCCAGTGACCTCGGTGGCCATGCTACTGGGCCACCACGCCCAATCCATCGTTGAGGGTACCATTCATTGAGATGATATCTGACGTGATGGGAGAAGTGTGCTGGGGCTGTCGTGCATAAACCACATGTCTTCTTGTATTCAGTGGCACATCTTCAAAGAGACGTGGCAAGTGTCCTCTTAGACGCGATGGCATGCTGTATAGGGTTTCACTCTACTAATTACCTTCATTCCCTGGAATCAATACTCCTCATGCCTTAATCTTAATGTATGAGGAGACAGATTGTTTTTCTCGGACAACAAAACGCCAAGGGTGAATTGCGGAACAGTATTGCCTAATCTCCTTTAGGTATTATCACATTTGTCTGGGAGGGAAGGGTGAAAGTTGGATTGGAATATGAACCACAAAAGGCAAGGTAAGGGCTCTGCTACCAACTCATCCTGCTTTGCAACAGTTTAAAATCGTACATAGGAGAATTGGTGTACATATCTCACTGTGAAATCAAGATGAATTTAAATTTAACAATTTATGAAATGCACACATGGCATAGCAATTCTGTAATGTCTGCCAGAGTTTGACCATTGACATTTCAGAAAGGCACAAGTAACACCAGAGCTGTCCGGGGTCAATGATCTTAGCATGAGTAAGATGTCTGACACCGGTGATGAATTCACTACAGAGGAATCCAAGCTGCTGTTGCGTGTTCCTTTGAGATCACTTGGTGACAAAACACTTACCATGTTTACTCAGAATTTGTGAACAACTACTGATATCACACACATTTTACAGAATGCAGGTATCAGCACATCAAGAGCCTCCCTTGTTTCATGATGTTTCTCATGACAGAGTGACATGATTTATTAAACTTTTGTTCAACACATAACAGGTATTGGTAAACAACTGGGAGTGTGGGCAGTTCTACTAGTCATTAAAAACACATATGAGTCATGTCCTTGAATGCACAAAAGTTCGTGCCATTCCGAAATGAAACCCAAGAAGTTTTCAGGAAGGTGCGACCAAGACTTCTACTGTAATTATTATGAACTGCTCGTAACAGTAGCTCACACACCAAGTAGTGTGCTGATGAATATACAATTACTGTAATCACTTAGGAAGGTACTGTTAAAACAACATAAAATGTTGAACAAGAGCACTAATGTAAGATTTAAGGTTTTCAAGTTGGTGAGGCTGTTTTCTGGGTTTTTGCACCGTGTAGTCAGTCCGGTACCGATGTTGTAGAGGTCCTTGCTGCAGCGCAACAACCAGAAGACAGCCAACTTCAATAGCATTAATACCAAGCTCCTCTTACCAGTTCACCATAAACTGTAACTAAGCATCCACAAACTAAATGACCTCTGGCAAATACTTTTTACCTTGAATCTTGTTTATCTATAAAGTATTGACATAATTCTTAACAACACCCTTCTGCTCTTCATTACTTGCACTGGTTACATTTTCTGTACGATAAGTTTTATTTTCTCCAGCTGCAACTTCTCCTGATACCAAAAATTTATCCCACTTCTGTAACCGCTGCTGGACTTCAACATCTGTTTCAGCAATCCTAAAATAAACAATAAGTGGACAATGACGCAGATACTGAAATAATTGAGACATATTATTTCAATGGTCCAACAGGCATCTGAATACTGCCCATAATAAATATTTTGGCTCATATGTATTACTAGAGTGAAGTTCTGTTATATCACTGCTGAATGTGTTAACTTTTAACTCCACATTCTTGGAACTACACACATTTAAATGTAATCCAAGTCTCATTTAGACTCATTTTATTTATTTCTGTCAAGATCTCCCTATTACAATTTTCACAACTGCTGTGTAATTTTATTTTACTGTTCATGTTTTGTAATGGATCATACTTTCTCTTTAATTCCATCTCTACAACTTTCTGAATTTGTGGTTCATGTACTCATATTATCCTATTCTTTATTACATGCCAGTAACCATATTCTATTTCCACGCTCAATTTCTCCTTCCTACAGTCAAGAATGCTGAAGAACCATGTGTCACCTCTTCAGTCAATTGCCTCTATGTAATACCACACAGTCAAAACCCAATGTTCACTTCACGCTCCTTCTGGCCTTAAAATGTTACTTTAGTATTCACTTGTTACTGTCCACTTGAGGATACTATTTAGCAATTAATGCTTCTGAGTTTCTCTAAATGAGGGTGATAAGACTGATTGTAATAATTATCAAGGAATCTCCCTCTTATCATCTGCCTACAAAATTTTATCCAACATTTTTCTGGCAAGGCTGACTCCATATGCTAATGAAATTATTGGGGATCATCAGCGCGCGTTCCGTCGTAATACATCTACAACTGATCAAATTTCCCACATTGGATATATACTAGAGAAAAAGCGGGAGTACAATGAGAATCGATGGAGCAATCACAAGCAGTCTTTGTTCAGTATTTATATTTTCCAAGAGCTTTAAAACTTGAATTCTTGCTCTAAAAAGAGTGCAAAATTATTAAATGTAGTAATAATAATCATCATTATCATCATCAGGTCTTCCTCAAATTAAACTTATTGAAATTACTACACCAAAGGATGTCATGCCAGACATTTTATGAAAAAAGTTAACAGAATACTCACTTATATTTAGTTTTACCATCCCATGTTTCAGCTGTTATCTTCCTCTGTCCAAACCAACGTCCATTCAGAAGGGTAACACAAGCATCTGCCTCTTCAGGGTCCCTGAATGTTATCTGTGCAACTCCCTCAGGATGTCTCTGAAAAATGTGTAAAGAGATCTTCAATGCTATACCATGCAACAACCCAGAAGACCATCTTCTGTCTTGGCATTCCCATGAAAATCATAAATCCCACAACTTCCAAACTGTTTTCACAACCACATTCTCATTTATAGTATCTTAATATGTACATATTTACTGTTATTAAAATATCATGATTTCTTCCACAATACAGATGCTCTACTCACATCATAAATGGCCACTTTTCTAACAGTGCCGCATTTTGAACATTCTTCACGTAAATCTTGTTGGAATTCTAACAGCAAGGACACGTCTTTATCAAAGATAGCTGGATCAAATAAATTCTTTACAATGACAACCTTTTCATGTTTTGATCTTTCACCACGCAGCTTATCAGGGTGCCAGTCAAATAACCTAAAATGAACAAGACAGTAACATGAATTAAGTAGCACTTTTACATGTCCCCTGTTGCAATCTGTAACTTTTTAACTGAGACAATTTTCCACTCAGTTGGTGATCATATAGCAGAGTCACATCTACATTACAGTCAACGTTGAAATCCTACATGTTTTGACTTCATGTTTATTTGACAAAATATGAGAGAAAGAAACATGCATTTATGCAAAATAAGTGGTTTTCTTTAAGATGGCTGTATTCTGGGTTGCAGTGTCATGTAATCTGGTAAAAGTTACCATGACTCACTGCCCTGATGAGGGAGGCAGCAGGAACCTCTGAAACACTGGCAAACTTCTACCAGAAGACAGCCGCCTCCGGACTCACGGCCATGAAAACCTCAAATCCTACAAGTGTTTTAACTAATCGAACTGAGATTTATTGTAAGTTTAGTGCAAATGTCTTTCAACAAATTTTGTCCAAATCCATCAACTGAGTTTGGCAATGAAACTTGGGAAAAGCAGGATGAGTGTCACATGCACTATAAATCCTTTACATGCATCTGAGAAGTGAGGTATTTTAGAAAATCATTCTTACGTCATTATGTACTTTCACTTTTTGTGTAAACATAAATTATAAATAAATAAGTAAATATTTATATTTAAGAACTACCCAACAAATTAATAAATTACCACATACAATATACTCACTTTTCTTGCATTTTCTTTAATTTCTCTTTAACCTTTTTCTTCTGTTTCTTAGGTTTCAGATTTGGGTCATAATTACCCTTCATTTGGAATTTTGCTCTTTCCACATGCAGCTTATGGCCACGAACCTCACAGCCATCTAAAAGTTTCAAGGCTAGATCCACAGATTCTATCTGGAAAAGAAATGAAGAAATATGAATGAAATAGAATTTCCTTCTTTGTGACCCTTACGTAAATAATGGTCAGTCTAATCTTGAAAATCACTTCAGAGTTCAATGAATGAACCCAACTAGAGTTTTACATGGGTTTGTTAACACAGTAAAATTATTTCAGTCATCAGTACCACGGCACAGGGAAGAAGAGTGTTAACGTCTGACAAAGTTGCTTACCTTGACATATGACAGTCACTGAATTTTAAACACACGACACACATTTACTCAGTACACAATCATATAATTGCATGTAATATTGTGCACAAATTGGTGTCAATGACAACAACTCTGTATTTCCAACAATCAAAACAAACATGGTGGCATTCATGGCCAAAACCTTGAATACCGTGTGCCAACATAATCACTGAACCGTAAAGTGCCACAGTTGGAAACCAACAAGTTGAAGGAAGACAGACATTTACTAAGTAGGAACGGAGATAGTTGAAAAAGTAAAGATTAAATCTCTAATGACATGATATTTATACCGAATTTCATAAAAATCAATCATGTCCTCAGTTGAATCAAAGCACAAACCCAACCATCTCACTGACAGGCTTCTGAAGAAGGAAATATATTCCTTCTTCAGAATCCCAAACAGTACACTAACACAAAATCAATGTTATAAACTATGTCAATCACCAAAAAAATTATAAAGAATAAGCACTGCATTTAATGAATCAAAAGTGCCACAATTTGCACTTTTATTATTATTATTATTATTATTAAAAAAAAGACATGGCACATATGCCGTTTCTCCCTTACAGGCCAAAATGAAAGAATGGAATCTGATGATGATATGTTCTGGTGTTTTGTACTGTGCAGAAATGCAGGTAAATATAAGCACTTGGCATCAGATAAATGTTAAATGTACTTCTTACATCCATAATAACACTGCCTTGTACTGTTCTATCTATCAAAATAACTACACAGGTTTAATACAAACGCATGCTTTTTGACCAAAACTTGTAAGTTCATCGCAAACTCAAATGAACAGATGTTCATTCATAAGTAGCAAGATTTCTAGAGTACAGTTTATACAATCATTCAAGAATGCCAACTTGTATCTTTGGTACTCAATAAGAAGGGTTTTAGGAAATGCAATGTACGTCTGACTTATGCCCTTCTTGCTGAGCACCAAACACATTCAACCTATGACCCATATTCCAACAGCTTGTAATCTGAACTTGAAATGTTAACTAGGTCAAATGCCACTGCCCCACATGACAGAGCACTGAAGAAATCTTTGTGGACCACACACACACGCGCACGTACATTACTCATTACTGCCTTACTGTCTGTAATTTACATTTTTAATACAAACCAAGTATTGTATTTGTGCTGTTTAATGTTCTATATACATCCTTGGCTTAGGCCTATGAAGGATCTATGGGATATAAATGCATTCCATTCTATTCTGTTCTTACAAAGAATATCCACAACTGTAAATTTCCTAAAATCAAACGTTTTGAAATCAATCAGTCAAATTGTTCCACACACTTCTTGCCCAGATAAATATTCAGTAAATTACATTTGACACATGCACAGAAACAAATGTACGTCTTCATGTGAAGTGTCCACTTTTGTTGTCAGAATTTAACCAGAACTGATATACAGACAAATGGATGAAGAGACAACGAAACTAAGAGAATCATTTTAACCATTTTTCTTTGCAAACCTACCAAAATTGAAAAAGAAAGAGCACAGAGGAGAGTAAGCATTCTACATTCTGAGTCTATAGCAGGATGCTTTATCACATTTTAGCTGTAAGTTTATTTAAATAGAGCAACAGAAGAAACTGAAATAACGTGCGTTCCATTTCATATGTTTTGCGCAAGAACGTGATGAAATGCAAGATCATCCATACTGCCTAACTGCTATGTGTCAGGATAGAGATAAAATGGTATGTTAAACTTACGCTATATTTTACTTTTGACAGCAACATCAAGATCAGGAAATGGCAATTGCTCTGGAAATGCTAAACTAAACAGATACAAACTTGTCTGAAGCTCAAAACCTGATTTACACACCTCTTCAGCTATAACAATAAAACAAAGAGATGCAGTTGGTCTGGTCCTTATTCAATTGAAAGTGTACTGGGAAATTTCATTCCAGATAATTTTCATGTCCCTTCTACAGATTTCCATCACTGCTGCATCATCCTACATATTTATTATTATTATAGTATACTCATTTCCTCAATGGACATTTCCACTCAAGTCATCCTGAGGACATGATTCATCTTGGTATGCATCATCACTGCATGAATGAGATTCAAATACAGCACCTCTTATGACCTTGCACATAAAATTCCCTTTTATAGATACTATCCTACTGCATACATGACGCTGATCCATCATTCCATTAAGATAATGAGCAACATTTTTCATGAAGTGCACAAATGGAAATGAAAATATTCAGAAAATATAAAATGTAATCTTGTCTTTCAAGGAGAGATTTCAGGTTCTCAGTGATGCCTGGTGCTGTACAGTAAGGTAGACACTGACCAATGTTTCATCCCCACATTATTTTATAATTCATTAATTCTCATATAAGTAGGTACTAATTTATTTTACAACCAAGTTCACACTGTAACCATGAGTTCAAGAATATGTCCAAGACAGCCAAATTAAGATTCACACGAGTGGAGTTAAAAGCTAATAACTTCTGTCATGTACCAAATGGAAACCCTATGACCTTCATACCATAAACACAAGACACCCATTCATTCATACAGGATATGAGATGTAGAAAAAATAAACAAAATAAATATAAATTTGTTTTAAGAAAGATCTTTTGTATGTAAGTCACTTTATGACTATGCTACATGGCATACAGAGAGCAAACAGTCCACATATGGTTTCTATTGGCACATATTTATCTCTCTCATTCTGTCTGCTTTGCTGTTCCCTTAATCTCTAACATCCATCACTCTCTCCATCTCTCTCTGCTCTACATTCAGCATACCAACTACTGACAATGAAAAGGTATTTTTAACTCTTTAGTATCCTGCAGTGCACAACTGTTCAAAAAAAGACGTCTCAGAGACAGAGGAACAGACACACACAATAACCAGAGTCTCTCACACGGAATGAAGTGGCTGTACTGTCATGCAGCAAAAATGTAGGAATCAGAAATTAAAGAACTGAACCTGAAGTATGTCAGCAGGCAAGAATGCCCGACATTTATTACAAATGACAAATTACACAAATCGGAGGACCTGAATTCTAACACCTGTGTTTGTTCCTTAATTTGTATGTAATATCAAATTACATGATAAAGATGAGCTCAATTCTATACATCAAGATGGCCATTCATGTTTATTTTTAACGAGTTCAAATGAACAAGTCATTTGCATTTTATAACACACATTTACAGCTTCAAGATACCACACCTTGGTGTTCTTTCACACATGTGAATTAGTCATCACTGATGACACACCATTTTGGTTACTGAGAGGAAAGAATGTTCATGAACCTTTGACTTATTGGTTTATTACTCTAGCAAGTCAACATGGACATAGATTTAATTTCAGAATCACAATACAACAGTCAACATAAACTAGTCTTACTATAGGAGCAAGTTAGATCACCTATGGAACAGCTGTTATGCATGTAAACATCTTATGATCTGCTGTCCTCAATTTCCATCCCTTTTTAGAAGCAGTTGCTTCCATTTGGTTTGTAAATGTGACATTCCACAGCAAAGAGGTTCAGTTTGTTCTCTGATTAGTGTACGGAGCCATTTCGGTATTTTGGAATGCAATGAACATCACATACCCAACATTAAAAAAAATAAAAATATTATAATGGTCAAACAAAAAGGAATGAGGTGGATGGTGGGACATGTAATACACAAGTGAATGATGAGAAAAGTGTTCAAAATTTTGGTTGGAAAACCTGAAGGTAAGAGAACACTTGGAAGACCTATGCATAGATGGACTTCAGACAAACATGGTACGAAAGAGTGGACTACATACGTGCAGCTCACGATAATAAATAGACCTTGCAAACAAGAAAATTTGTCTTTGGATTCCACAAAAAAGCAAACAAATTGGAATTTTTTTGACTCTGCTCAGGGCTGACTGTTAACTTCTCAAGAACAACTCTGCTCTGTGGAGTTTGTTACTGTAATACGTGACACCCTTATCTTCTGCCTCCCCCATTCCCTTTTGACTTGTCCATCTAATTGTTATTAGACCATAATAGAAAAAGCATAAAGTGATCTATGTCACCAGGAAACCATGTATGGTTTAATGCATATCTGGTATTTAAAAGATTTATTAACATGAAGTGCCATGGCTGCAAATCACAGAATATATGACTGACATCATCTCTTGGTCTTTAGCCCCGAATTTAATTATAAGTCTCGATAATTCAGTAAAATTTATTCGAAGAAAACACTGAATGAAGAACAGATACTTTAGCCAGTATCATATAACGCACTGAACAGAGTAGACACAAAAACAAGCAAACTGGAAGTGTAAAAGAATCTGCCCGCACATAAAATAAACTAGCGTAGGATGACTGCAATTTGTGGCATGAATATATTATCATTTGTACGGTAATTCTGTGCCAAAACCTGGGTATAAAAATGGCTCCCTTCAATCGACTGCCAGAGGCACAAACTAGATTCCCATCAGACATAATGGCTACTAGTCCAATGACCTGGATCTAACTCATGTGGAATAATGCACAGTCTGTTAAGGTATCCATCTTCTTCCTGTTTGTTCTAATATGTCTCTAAACTCTAAATCAGGACTCTGAAAATAGCAGTCTAGCAGTCTAGCTGCCTTTCTTGGCAAACAGCCCACTTGTCCTCCCTCTCTTTTCCTTACTACCACATTACCACAGAAAACTGAAGCCACCGACACGCCTCTCACAGACTTGTCAGACTCTCTTTCATTCAGTGTGCCAGACAGTCACAAACACACACCACATGCCAGTGTGTTCTTAACACAGTACCACTCAAGCATCACTTCAAATACTGAACAAGAATTATTTTAAGAGTGATCACTGCATTTTGCAATACGTGTTAACTTCATTACTTTTACTGCTCAATTTTCTACAATGAATGGGTTGAATACTATTTAAGGACCCGCTATCTCCGCAAAGGATGTGTTAATAATTAGTCAGTGCACCAAACATTCAAACTAGTGATTCAGTACTGCTAACCTTCACACTACAGTGATGTAACAAAACAGTTTTATCATCTTTTGTTATTATACATGTGTAAATCATCAGTTGTAAGTGTTTTCAGCATGTGGCTCTTGGTGTTGCTCTTACTTACAGTGAACTATAGTGCAGGTAGGTGCAGTTCCCTTTTAACAATATCTTGATTGCATCTGTATCCTAAATATATAGCAAAGTGATGGGTAGAATCCTTACAATTCCCTTATTATACTGCAAAGTCCACGGTTAAATTCTATGTAAACTTTGTATAGATACGAAATCAATCTGAATATTTCCAGCCAAGCACAGCCTTGGTTCTGTGCGCGCGCGTATGTGAGCACTGGCACATGGACATGTTCCTAACTGAATTTACCCTTTTAATTCCTTTGGTAACTATATGCACCACCTGCTTTAACAATCAGAACATCTGAATTTTTCCCTTACACAGCGTTAAATAACTGAACCTTGTAGTCGAGATGCTTTGTTTTCTGTGAGGTAAAAACTGAATTTTTAAATATTATTTAAACAAATTACAGCTTCAAAGGGTTGGCATTAATCCCACTTAATGGGAAGCTTCATGATGTGCACTCATCACAGAATGCAACTCAGAAAGTTAAGCAACAGTAGACGTGTGGCACACACAGACGGATCACATCATTTAGATAGGAAACTTTGAGCAATGTGGCATAAATAGATGAATAATATTAAAATGTATTAAAAAAAATAGATTACAAGGATGTGAACTGCATTGAACATGACAAAGAAGTAGATCTGCAATAGACTTTTCTGGTACAGTAACCATGACGAATCTCATAACATGAAAATTTATTAAATTGTGAAGTAATATAATAACTGATCTGGAACTATGAGCGAGAAAGCAATGGAAGGGATGGAGGAAATTACAAGAGTCACTTCATAATTTATATTCTGCACCAAATAATATTGGAGCGATCAAATCAAGAACAATAAAATGGGGAAAGATGAGAAATGCACACAAAATTTCAGTGTGACAACCTGAAGAGAAAGAACCACTTTTGAGATCTAGGATCAGATGGAACTGGAATTAAATGGTTCAGGTATGGGTGCAGTGGAGGCTCTTTTGTGAACATGGCAATGAACATTTGGTATCCTGAAAGGCAGGGAATTTCCTGAGCAGCTACATAACTATCAAGATGACTGTGTTCTGGGATATCGTGCCTTGAAGTCCGGTAAATCTGACGTGTTTCAGAACTGCCCTAATGATGGAGGTAGTAAGCAGCTCTGAAACACGTTTGTAAGACCTTGAGAGTAACAGAACAGATTAAAGTGAATGATATTATGAAGAGAGAAATGAAAACACTTTGGGTCATTTAGTACAAAAACTGAATCTAGTGGACCTCCATTTGAAAATAAATCGTGAACTGTTAACGTTACATATGCCTACAAATAACAAACATTCTCAGGGGTTTTGACAATATACCGAGCAAAAGACTTGTATTACAATTGTTTAACTGTATGTATCAAAACATAATCTGCTTTACAACAGGTCTCAATGAAGAAGACATGAAGAAAATATACGTGTGTCCATCAGACTTTGTCCGTAACGGTAACAGTTGCTACTACTTCAGTACTCACATGGCAACATGGCAAGGGGCTCACTTTGCATGTAAAGATAAGGACAGCGAGCTGGCAAGGATGGAAAAAGGCTGGGAAGATCGAAACATGAGAAGTTACCTCAATAAACCAGAGTTAGGTAAGTCTGACAGTATTACATAAGTTATAATTCTGTTTATAATGGAAAGTTCTGAAAATGAGACAAGGCTGATCAAACTGGTTAAATGAACATCCCACATGTGGTTACACAACCAGAACAGACAAACGTAGTTTAACAAGTAAACCTATATAGCCCAGATGGGAAGGTAATATTAAAATGGATCTGCAAGAAATAGGAAGTGGCTCATTTAGCCCACAGGATAGGGTCTGGTATTGGGCTTTCATGATCAGAGTAATGAACCTTTTGGTTCCATAGAAGGCAGAGAATTTCTTGAGCAGCTGAATGACCATTAAATTCTCAACAAATAGATTGTTATAGTCAACATTAGACACAAACGTTACAGGTGCATAAGTAAAAGTCAGGAAGATTTGTTACCTCAGCACAGGACTAAACCTGTGATTCCAACTTTCCATCTCTTTTCTAGACCAGCATTACAGGAAGTAAAAGTAAAACAGCTCACAGGCACATGTTCTTATTTGTCTAAGAGGTAATACGTCAGAAGGATTCAATTCGCGTTCCGTGTTAAAATAATTATTTCATTAAAAAAGGAGTGAATAATCCAGACATGCTTCTGAACTGCAGCTCGTTTAGAACGCTGGATTGGAGGAATATACAACTGGGAGACCAAACGATGGGTTTGGGGAGCAACAGGACGCCGTCTTAGTTACCAGGGATTTTCTCGCCGTTCACCATCTGAAGATCCAACTTGGCACTGTATTGTTATGGATCCAATCATGATGTACAAATGGGGAACAAGGAGCTGTGTTCATCGCAAACATTATATCTGTGAAAAGCCTTTGCAGATGGTCATGGTGCCAGAAGACAACACACTGGGGCAACATTCTGAGAGGCGCTCAAACAGAAGACGTAGGCTGCGCTTACAAAACGTTCGCCAGTAAAACACCACTTGGATGTTCAAAAACGTAAAATAAGTACATGACGACATTCAATTCTGGGTGCTTCACACCGTGCTGGGAAATCTTGAGGAACACTTTTATGGAACCAGATAAGAACAATTACAAGTTTTAGTATGTAATCATAATAATTCATCAATGACACTACACACACTGGTTCGTTCATCGATAGTTTTATTAAGCATGTGTAAGGTCTCCCCCCCTTCATATGTCTACACTCTTATAGGACAAGGATTTGCAGGTATATACATATTTATGGCCTTGCGTAGTTTTGTTCCCCCTTTCCACGAGGCAAAATTCTGTCCTGTGCTGTAATGCGTCTCTGACAAATCAGTGTGTGTTACAGGCAAAGAAGGTTTGTGGAATACCGTATTATAGTGACAACATAAAACAGTACACTCTTTGGTTGTAAGTTGCCAGCGACCTACATTACTGAAGATGACAAGATAGCAAAAGATGCCCCTACGTTTATTACAAGTAAGTGCCAGCAAAGGAAACAAATTCAAGCTTCTCTTTGTTTGATCACTTGAATTTGTTCATGAATCTATCCAATTCAAACTGAAATCAATTTAATGGTACCAACATAAAAGTGAAGTTCCCATTCACACACAAATTCCGGCTGTAAAGAAAAAACATGTGAATTTCTTTCTGATGATTTTCATCCGATCAAGAGACCCACAAATTGACAATCACTACAGTCAGATCAGTGGTACAAAAAAGTCATCCCTTATTAAAATAAGCCACAGAGGGTGTGTTTATTCATTCATGTTCACATTGAGTAATGTAAAATGGAAACTATTCTTTGGTCCCATGCAACAAACGTCAGTTGTATCTAGCAAGCTTGTGACTTATGAAGAACCATACCATGTACTTATTACAGATAATGTAATGGGCTTTCGTCCTAAGTATAAGAAAATGTTCGTTCTCATCATAATCAAACATGAAACTGTCAATAATGCTGTAAATGTGAGAGAGAATCCTGTTTCTAATGAAAAAATATCGCTGACAAACAGAAATTCTTCTCAAATCAAAATGAGAAATAAAATTATCAAGTTGAATCAATGCCAGTGGAAGAAGGCGATAAAAGTATCATATAGTTCACAGCTAAGAACGGACAGCTTGGACGCGATCGTGGCAAACTCTAAAGCGCGCCACCCGAGTCAGAAATGACTTACCTTAATATAAGAGCACAAGCCATCCCCTTTGAGCTGATTGGTGTCTGGCTCTGTGTACAGCTTTATCTTCATCTTGCCTGTTTCCGCATCCTTCATCACAAGCCCACACTTCTGCATCACATCTAAAAACTCCTGATCTGTGATATCCAATGGCAAATTGCTCACATACACTTTTGTGTTATGTTCGTCATCCATTTCAAACCAACCTAAAATTACAATAAGCATTTATTACAGCGCGTGCAAGGACACCTTTTCAAACAACATTCAAAAAGTTAATATTTCACCAAATCTAAAGTTGGATCTAAAGTTGGCACTCGGTAAACCCCGCGACTGCAAAATATTGCAGATACAAACTGCTTAATCAATTTATTTTATTTTAATGTTTAATTCTTCTATTTTTAAATTATTAGTATGTGGATGTAATCTTGAATGTAATATTATTGAATAATAAATTAAACCGTACACTTCAAATTCTAGCGGACAGTCGTATTGAAACGTGGCTTAAGAAGAGTGACACAAGTAGGATTCAAGGTTTTCACGGCGGAAAGGCCAAAGATGACCATCTTCTGGGTTGTCGTAGTCTGGTAGAAGTTTACCAGTGTTCATCCCGACAATGGAGGCGGCAAGGACTACTGGACTGCACGGCGCAATGACCCAGAAGATGGTCATCTTCAAGAGTGACACAAATTTCACACGTTTTCATAAAGTTATGTGCGTACATTACAATGAAACAATAGACTGAGACTGAGGTTCTCTCAGTGGCGAAGATGTCAACGTTGTTCTGGTCTGCAATGACGTGTGGACTCAATGGTAGACATCAACATTTCAGAGATGTTCGCTGTTTCCAGATACACACATAGCAGAAATGACACAAAGTATGCAGGGGTTAACTAACTCCATGGACCACAGCCCTTCTTGAGAAGCTTACAGTTGTTCAACTGGTCACAAAATGTTTACAAGAGCCTATTACTCCATCCCGAGTCTCTTTAATTCAGTCCACGCCCCAACACCGCATATTTCTGAGACGTATTTTAGCACCACCCACAAACAAATGCCTACATCTCCCAAGTACTTTCTTCCCTCCAGGTTTTCTGATCAGAATGTCCCACCCTGGCCTCTGAATATCTGCAACAGCTGTCATACAGAACAAACTTACTGGGCTCTTGAGGGCCTGCCTTCCTCTTGACTCCCAGCTGTTCATCACTAGTTTCCTTTTTATCTCCATCATCAGCTTCCTTCCCTGCTGAAGCAGGAGTACTGGCTTCAGTAAATCCATAGTTCATCTGGTACAGTGCCAAGAAATCGTCGTCCACCTGCAAAAGTAAGAGCCACTGTTCTCAATCATTACACAACAGAGTTCTAAGCTGCAGGTTTGTGGTGATGGCACATTATTAAAATTGCAATATTTGAAGCTTTCACGGCAATTTCAATACGTGGCTGATAACCCGAAAGTCATCAATATGGCGATATATTGCAACACGGTTATGTACGAGAGTTGATACAGACTGCCACTAAACAGTTTGTGGTATCTTACGCACAATATCCTCGAGTCCATCTCTGAAGTGGTTGGCTGCAATGTGCAGTGACGTTTCATAGCCTGGCATCCATCTGATGCGCCAAAGTGATAAATAATGAAATACTGGTCAATGAGAGTACATTAGTCACAAGAATGTCACGACAAATAAGCAATGGCATTAATTCGGTAAAGTTTATGGACACTTGTGGTAACTTTGGTTACTTATGGAAGAGGAAACAGCCATTTCAATTAAACATTTAAGTTCCATCGATCTCATTTTGCATAATTCAGTATGTGCAATTAAGAACTACACTGTGTCTACTTTATTCTATTTCAAACTCCACAAACATACAACACCAACATTTTTGTTTTTAAAAACTAGTAAACAAGCATTTTACCTTAGGAAACCAGGCATTCCTCTCTCTGTCCCATATATAAACAGTTCCATCCGTTGCGTCAGTGTACGTATGAGTATCTCCCTCATAACCGTACGTACCTGAACTCATATCTTGCTTTATTACACTGTCACCACTTTCAACACATTCTTCATTACATGCACCACAATCGTCATCTTTTACCACCCACGACTGTTTACTGTTATCAAATTTGTAAGTGACACCTGTGACAAACAAACAGAAATAAGACATGTAACAGCAGAACCCGATATCTGAACAGAAATGGGTAGGCATAAGAGAAGTTTCCACTTCATCAGTAAGTTAACACACTTATCATCACCAGTATCCTGGTGGTGGTGATGATGATGACAGTACGTAGCAAAGAGCCCACATCAAGGAACAAAGAACAAGCTGCATGTAGGGAGAAAGATGGGTGTTAAGGGCACAGCAAGCATTTCATGTGCTTGAAAAATGGTTTCTGAATGCAATTGTGAGCATTCCTGTCTCCTATAGCTTCAAATCCAAAAATAAAAACTATATGTCGAATACTGTCTGTGTGGTCTCCTAGCACCTAATTTAATCTGACTTCCTCCACACATGGTATCCATAAATGTATGTCTCACCCATCCATCTTTATTACTTTCCAAGGAACCGTAAGTTAGACGATATTAAGATGTGGAGTAAGTTATGACAACATAATACATATTAAACAAGTATGATTCATATTATTATATAGTTTTCACAAAATAGTATATAAACAAAGGGTTCACATAAAGTAGTGATACGCAATAAATAAATCCATAAATTCTACTCTATTCTATTCTAAGCTATGCTGATTAGTTAATTTGTTTTTAGTATAATTTGAGGTTCTCACAGCAGAGTATGAAGATTGCTGTCTTCTGGGTTGTAGCACCATGTAGTGTGGTAGAAGTTTACCAATGTTTCACAGGTCCCTGCTGCTACTCATTGTCCTTTTGATGGAGCCTGCAAGGACCTCTGAAACGTTGGTAAACTTCTACCATACTGAACAGCACAACAAGCTAAAAGACAGTCATCTTATAATTTGTTTTTTTATTTGCATCTTCACTTATCAGATGCTTAGAGTACACAAACAATATTTATATGTTACAATGGTTATTTAAACAATTTTTACCTGTTTTGGGATCTTTATAGCAATAAGATTCGCCATCAAACTCATAATCATTGCTGGATATTTTATCATAATATGGCGGACAATGAAGTAGGCCAACACTTTCTGGATTTGTATTTTGCACTTCAGTTTCAGGCTTTAACACATGGTCCTCACATTTCTCTAAACTACCTTCTCCCGAAGGTACTATTCCATGTGATCGTACTACCCATTCATGTTTATTAGAGTCCCAAATATACTGATCCTTTGTTACTGGATTTGTGTAAACACAAACACTTTCTTCATAATGGAGGTTAGAGTTGTCAATTTCATCACGCTTGCTTGGTGAGATCGCATTAGTTGTTTTAGACCCATCATTTCGAAGACACAATGACTTTCCTGCAACCTCCTCCAAATCTCTTTCCAAGGCTTCGTCAGAAGGAATGTGTGAAATAGGCCGTTCATTTGACTGACTTGGATCTCCCGTATCATCTGCCATAATGAAGATATACTTCGTAACAGTTACGCAGAATGCTTCTAGCTACAAAAACTTAGAATAAAAAAATTCAAATTTAGTAGTTCAGAAACATGCAATATTCACATACTAACTTTCCATCACTAATTAATAACACATTAACAGAGGCTTAACTCAAATGCTATCAATACATGACCAATCCTGTCGACTGAAATGAATGTGCAGCCACGTAAGTACTTGCTGCCACCTACCGACCATCGAGAAATACACAACAGTGGTGGAGTGGTGATGGCAGATTTCAGTCGGTAAAAATATTGACTACTATTCAAACAATGTGTCACTTCTCTCACCAACCCAGGCTTAACACAAATACACAGATTTAAAACTCTGGTACTGGAGAGGAACTTCCTCCATTGCTGGCAATATGTCATATGGAATAACATTCTGGGGAAATTCAAGAGAGACAGAGAAAAAATATTTTTTGTCCTAAAGAAATTCATTAAAACAATGGCAGGGGTTAAAAGGAGAGATTCTTATAGGGAATTGTTTAAGAAGTTTAATATTCTGACAATTCCCATAGATTTCTTATGCTCATTGTTATCGTTTGTTGCGGACAACGTGGAAATTTTTCAAACAAACTCAGGTGTACGCAGTACAAATACAAGACGCAGACCTGAGCTCCTTGAGCCAAAATCTAACCTAAGCAAATTTCAGCCGGTGTTCCTGTAGAAGGAAATAAGACAAAACGGACGTTTCGTTGTTACTTACATGTCCCAATTTGTTTGTTATTCTGCCGTATCGCGTTCAATGAATAATTGGGTAAATGATATACGCCATCAACCTATTACAGGCTCCGGTCGGCTGTGTGCGGGACATCGCTTCTTAAGCATTTTCAACACATGAACTCAAGAGAAGGAGAAACGCAGGAGATGAAAAGATTTTAACGAATAACATTAATTAAAACTATTATGTCTTAGTATGTTTTCAAGAGCATTAGGGCAGTATAACAAACTCTGGACGAGTTCCAGGGTATACACACGTGTTGCCAAAGCAGATTTCCACACCCAACAAGCCTTGACACGAGATGACAGCAGACATATCGCGTGTCTCTCGCCTCGTGACGTAGCTAGGTGGTCCTGCACAGTGGCGCGGAATGCCACTCAGATACAGCATCTTACTTCCAGTCTGTTGTCATCACAACACACCATTTGCAAAGTCCGTATGTAATATTAGGCTCACACGTCATTTGCCGTGAAAAGGCAAACTTGGCTTCATCGCGGAAGAAGTACGACGCATATGTGGGGGAAGAAATTGTCTCAAAAACGACTGTAAGCCTAAGAATACCCCATGCAAATTTTAAAAAATCGAAGATGGAGTGAGCAAGGTCCTCTGAAACGTCGGCAAACGTCTACCAGAATACAACCCACATTTCCAGGAGCCCTTAAGCACTTTTCCAGCAATTTTCCAGGACACCCACACGTCCACGATAGGAATTCTCCAGGAAAGAACCCATTATAAAACCACAACCTTAACTAAACTAACCTAACCCAACTTAATAAAATGTAACCTAAACCATTCCAACATAACAGAAACGCAATATTATTGCAGAAATCGGTTGATTTGTATTCTTAAGGTCCCGGAGCCAAAGTTACAAAGCATTATGGCCACACCACGTGACTCAAGGCGTCGTTGATCCTCCCTAAGCGCGAGGCCGCCGGTGGCTCACACGGTATAGTCGGAGTCTGTAAAAATGTACCGACTCCATCTCCGACTCCGCAGCCCTGTTTTAAACAATAGAATAATCTCAGCAGAAGCAGAAGAATTCAAGTGTCAACACAAAAACTGCACAAATAAAGTTAAATAAAATCTAAAGTTTTGTTGAAATTACGATTTGAATTCCACGTTTAGGATATTAAAGTTATTAGCAACTGATCAGATTGCTGGCAAAGTAAAGCTGCACTTGCAGTTGAAATAATATTTTTCTTTTAGCGCGTGATGTTCTTTTGAGTGGTTCGGTTGTGGTGCGTGAGAACAAGAACATTTAAATACGTAGGGCAGTCAGAAAGTTGTCAGTGGAACGACGGTTCCGGAGAATCTGACGTAAATACGTCTATACGGAAAGGAAGTTTATATATTGGCTTTATTCTAAATGCTTTACAATTGAGTAAAGTTTGATTAAGACATTGCTTATTCAATTTGAATTAGTTACGCTTAAGATGGGTCTGTGGTAGCTGAAATATGTTATAAAATTTGTGCACTCTAGAGCATCAACATTTCGTGCAAGATTTTGATCTAGGATTTGACATCAACATTAAGCCAAACGTTTCCTCCTTCTTTAAATCAATGTTAAAATCTCCTGTCAATATTATCGGCATTGTATTAGGATTTTCTGTGTCTCAAATGACTCTTACAATCATCAATAGGTTTGTGGTTACAATTAAAACTTTTTCACCATTGACCATACGCTCTGGAGTTCATTATTTAATACTTCTGTTATTTTACGTTTTCTCTACTCTCTCACATATTCCGCGTTATGGAGTCTTTTAGCTTCAATGTCATCCATCTTGTACATAGTATGACGCAACAAATTAACGCAACAATAGATTTCTTAATAATTCTCCTGTGATATTGTAAAACGTTTTTACCAGCACAAAATTATCTACTCAACGACGCACTTCTTCAACAAGCGAATCATAGCTCAGCTCTTGCCGCAATAACGAAAGCGGATTGTTGACGGCAATAATGAAACACAACAATGCCGAGTAAACAGATGACGTTTCCTAGGTAACATAACAATGCAGTTACACTTTTTCGTAACACTTTTTTGCGGAATGACCCTTCCATTTAGACGTATTTACGTCAAAAGTTCCCGGAATTGTGGCACAGCACTGTAATGCTAGGACATATGGCGACGCTGACCTAATCACCTTCAAAGTAGGATCCTTGCCATTGTTGCAAGCACCGGCGGGAATCTTCCGGAGTTCGACTTGTTGTCCTCCATGGTTGCGAAAGAAGCTATAACCGAGGAGTGTAAACATATTGCACCCGAAGGAGGACAATTTGCATTCCACACAATAGAACGCACCCAATCCATTCGATCCATGGACAGTACATTGTCAGTGACAAGAAGATTGCACGAGGGAAGGTTTTCGTGTGGTCGAACAAAATGTAAATCGACTGTAGTAAACGTTAATTAAAATACAAATTCGGTTAAAATAGTGTCGGTGAAATCATCTGTTGTAAATTTATCATCATCAGTGAACGTGTCCCGTTTTTTAGTTTTTGAAATCTGGGCAATTCTGTATATTTTGTTCCCTTTACGTAAACCACAATTAAGGGCAAGTGCTCGAACGCTGTTGCCATAGCTGGATACAGTGCAGCTGAATTGATTTGCGTGATTCACGAAAGACACGCCCGATGTTAAGTCCTTGCCGATATTATCATCTGTCAGATGAAATGCATCGCGTTCTGAATGAACGAGCGTCACGCTGAAGGCGACATCATTCGACGCTACCAAGACACAGCCCCGTCTCTTGTTCTTGGCCGGCTACCAGAGTCTGGGAGAATTATTGTCGCCTGAAGGGTCGAAAATTGGATTAGAAGGGTAGAAAGGCTTTGAGTTATTACGTCATCACAGCAAAGCGAAGGCCATGAATCTTATCTCGTGTCAGGAAACTTCTAAAAAAGACTACGTATTAAAACGAGGCCTTGGCTTAGATGCGTTTGTTGTGATATTTGAATCAGCAGCCATTTTTTTCTCTTTGGCGTGTAATTGGTGCTTTTATAAGCACAGATATGTTGTGGTAAAAGAGTTCGTTGTCACGAATTACCACTTACGGAGGAAAGTCTCTGTCCCTGTGACGTATGCTGCCGTGCAAATCACGTGCTGCACTGCTATCAGAATGAGAAACGACGAGCTCTTTCTGATTTGATGTAAATTCCAGAGTGAAACTGTCAGATTTCGTACAAACTTGCCGCGTTTCATAATTTGCATGTTGGATATTTCTGTTTTCTGTCACATAAAATCCTGATTCGCGTCTCTGGCGCCCTCCTGATGCTGCTCCTTGCTTACGGGAACGAGCAATTCCTCTTCGGCACTGAATCACAGGCCTAATTGAATTCTGTCTCTTTGCTGTGAATAATCTCGCCACGTTCACGGCACGTGATTTATAACACGAAAACAAACAACAATAATAACAAAAAATATACTTTACGATTCTCCGAACACGGCAAATCATCACAGGCGGTCCTTATCGCCCGCACAAATCGGTGATGCGGTGATGCGTCCACTAGCGCCGGCAATTCTGTCTCTTCGTGGCTCATAAAAGTTGGTCCCAATGGACAACACGGAGTTTCACTGCTTATATTTTCTGAGACCACACACATTCGGTGACGTCTTCCTTCACTATTCGTAAAATAATAAAAGTTTTCCCACACGTGGATGAAGACGGCGTGAATACGAGATGCAAGCGAAGACAGGAAGGAACTCGGCTACCTGTCTAACTTCAAGAAACAGACGAGATGAGACGCTGTCAGTCGCTTACCTGCTCTAAATTTGCTTACATGTTACGGTATCCGAAGGTTAATTCATAACTGTCCGTATTCTGAATCTGATAAACCCACATCCTCATATATTATTTAAGACCCACTTTAATATTATCCTCCCAGGTTGCTGTAATCCTTTCGAGTAAAATTTTGTACGATATTTCAGATTAACGTCCAACTTTCTTTTCCGCAAAGCCAAATCCCTACTAAACGCACCAACATGAAACTGGCCGCCAGACCTCGCCACAGGCGCCACAACAACCTAGTTTGCATTTCTTCCTACCACAGCCGCCACCGTCAGGACATTAATATCATATTCTTCTGCATCGCAAGACTCTCACACTGTTCAACAGCCAAAATATATCGGAGATGAAAGTAACCAATTTTTAATAATTCTGAGCTGCTAAACGCGAAAATGACATCAATTTTGCAAGATTGGTTCGCATTTCTAAGATATTCATACCAAGCCGTTTCCCTCAGTTCTCGTAATTTTCAGAATTGTAATGGACTACTTACTTCAGAAACAGCCT